AGGCTAAAAAGAAAGATATGGCCATGACTCACTGTAAATAATAACTAAAAACTATCGAGCTTTTAGGTACTATTCTTCATAATTAATTTGCAATTTGTATGAATTTTTCTGATTAAATATTTGTTAAATGAATGTATTAAAAACAAATGAATGAATGAACAGATTAAGCTTAAGAGGTTCAGTAGCCTATCTAAGATCACACGCTCATAAATGGTGAAGGAGGATTCAAATTCAGATATAACGTTAAAGCTTATACTCTCAGCCACTAGGTTATGCTGTATCCAAAAGAGGGCTTAAATGCACATTAAACGGTTTGCTCTCATCAATGCAAATGATAGAAAAATCATTTAAAAATTTTAAACTGAGAAGCCATGTGCTCTGTGATTTTTAAAAATATTTGGATGAAGTGTGGAAGATGGATTCGAGACAAAGGTAGCTCTAAAGAGATCTGAAAGAGAATATTATAATAGTTTAATTGAGAGACGCCAAATGCAATGGGAAGAGAATGAAAGAGTAGGAATTAACAGATGTTTAGAAAGAATTTTAAAAATAACTAACTGAAATTGGAGAACAAGATAGGGAAAAATCTAAAATGACACCAAAGTTTCCAGCTCAGGTAACTAAGTGGGTATGGAAACAATTAATGCTTGGGAATGGGAAGAGGGAAGAAGAAAAACAGATCCCATAGTATTGAGTGCTACTTTATGCTAAAAACTATTTCATGCTATTTTTACATAAAATCTTTAAGACTATGATATTATTCTTAAGATATGAGATATTATTCCTATTTACATGAGAGAAACCTGTGGAGCAGAAGGATTAAATAACAAGCTCATATAAATACCAGGATTGGGATATGAACTTTCAGCTCTGTCTCTGGAGACCATGTTAATTCCACTGTACCACAATGCTTCTCTAAGAAGTGGATATTTGCTGAACATCTACCTGTTTTACATTTAAAGTACATACCTGCATGCATTTAAAAATAAAAGTCTCAAGCTTGTTAGGAGAAAGCTGAGGAGACTCAAGTATCACTAGCATACAGATAGCCAAAATCATGAAAACAGATTATGTGAACTAGAATATGAACTAAGAGAAAAATCCTTAAGTTGGAATCTGGCATCTATGGTGCATGAAAAGTGAGGAGAGTCTTTAAAAAAATCTGAGACAGAAGAGTCAAATCTGAGATGGGAGAGTCAGAAGAGCAGAAGCAAATCCAAAAAGATTGATATTCAAGAAGCCAGAGAAAGTGTTTCCTCTAGGATTCCACTGGAATAAACGCAGGTTTTGATGCTATGATGATAATATTACATCTAGAGATCTAGGAATGCCCTGATTCTGCTCTGGTATTAACCTCACCTTCACACAGTGATCTCTACACAGGAACTTTTACACAAGGAATAACAGAAAAATAGATCAAAGAACTATTTTAATATCATTTGAATCAGCCTTAATTATAGCCAATGGAGGGTTTTTTGGTAAAAGCGGAGTAAGAAAACCAAGGCTGGAGTCCTAAATTGGGACTCGTTCATTTATGGGATCAGCAGGCTTAGGTATATTTTCAGACAGCAAGAAAGTAGGCTCAAGTTTAACTCA